CATGCCTTGCCGCATTCTTTTGTGCATCTGCAAAATATTGAGTTGAGCACTTTCTCCAGTGCTGGCCCTATGTACATGTGAGAAGGAGCAAGTTGAGCCCCTTCTGAGCGCCAGCCCTAGTCTTAGGAAGCCAATTGGTTGCTCAGCCAGTGCTCCAATATCTGTCTAATTTGCTGCTGTGAGGCATGCGAAAACCCCACGAGCTGGCAAGTTGGAAGATGAGGAAGAAAATGTAGACAACGTCGAAGCGATTTTTGATAATGTTCTCAGGGAGGAAATGCAGGGAAAAAAACCACGCAGAGATAAGAATTGCCAGGAAAAAGAGAAAGAAATAGAGGAAGATGAAACTAGAATGAGTCAACCACACGAAAGAGACGTCGACTTTTTTAATTGTAGCGGACTTTGGTTTTCCCCTCTTTATTCCTATAAGATTACTAATTTTTTGTCTTCATGGATTTTCTAGTAAATCAAACGTACAGTGACGGCACACATTTTGTTAATTACATTTTCATTTTTTATCATTTAACCGCTGCTAAAAATATAATTTATAAATAAAGTTCTTAAAAAAAGCTCTTAAAAAAAAAAAAAAAAAAAAAAAAAAAAAAAAACTACCGCGCAAATATGAGGGGCAATAACTAGGATTAAAGTGTCATCAAACTATATTTTCTTGCTTTTAGGCTTTATTTTGCCCAAAGCCCATTTCTCAAGCATCAAAGTTTAGTGACAGAAAACAGAATTTTGCACAGCGAACTCCAAGAAACGGCCGTACAACGCAAAAACGCCGTAAACGCCATTTTACATTATTTGGAAACAATGTACGATACGAGAAAAACTCGTTAACCTTGGGCCGATGTTTTTACAGAATTCTTTTACTGATACTATCAAGAACTTAACCTGAAAATTTGGGGTGCCTGGGTAAAACAGTTTATGTTTTTTAAAGTGTTAAGTTCCAAAAAACGAGGGCAAATCTTGATGGATAAACGGCATTCTTGCTTAGCGCGGCAGGATAAGTGTACAAGCGGGATCGTTATTCCTGCGAAAAATAGTTTTCCGTAACCCGCCATACACTTTAGTGCACCGCTATAGTGGCCACAGAATAATATCTCTCGTAGCGACTCTACATTNCCCTTATTTAGCGCTTTCCGGGTGTTTCAGTTGTTTCGCCGCTATAACGAGGGATAAAAATTTTTTTTGAAGTGTCCAATACATGTTTCCCCACTCAATTTTTCCTGCTGAAGCCGAATATGACCTCAGATTTTTTCTAGAAATTAGACATTTTTCGAAAAATGGATTTTTCCGGAAAAAAGTGTTTTTCAATGTAAAATCCCATATAAAAAAGATGGCTCTGTCGGCACGGGTTAATATTATCCGATTTGGCTGAAACTTGGCAGAGAGTGTTTTTTGATCAAATGGAACAGTTCTAGGGGGTAAGACCAAAAATATTCGCAAAATAAATTTTACTGTGTATAATTGGGCCACCCTACTGCTGCGCCCTTGCATGGGCTCCGTTCGGTAAAATATTTGGCACAGAGTCTACCTAAGAATAGTACTTTGAAAATATGAAACATTTAGCAAAATCCAGGTGGGGCCGGAAAAGGCCCAAAACGACACTCCTCCTTTATTTTTCTCGCGCCCAAAAACCCCTGGACACCATTTTTCAAGTGAGCCCGTCGGAAAATAGCCAGAAAACGCATTTTCCGTCATTTTTTGGTCGCCATTTAGTTAGAAATTGAGATACTAACAATCGGTTTTTTCCAAAAGTTTTCTTTTTTTAAGCCCATTCAAATCATGTATCACAAGATAGGGGTTCATATTTGAAAAATTAGTCAGGTTCCGCTCCCCTTCCTCAAGGAAGCCCCCCCCCCCCCGAAATTTTGAATATGCCAAAAAGTGGTTCCCTTCGTCCTGGGAACATGGGCCACAAATGGCAACAATGAGCCATAAGGCCCCTGAAAATTAATCGAAGGCCTTTAAAAGGCCAGAAACGGAAATTACGCAAAAAAATACATAGGAATCATCTGCTGAAAGAGTGATAACAGTCGAAAAGGTCGATGAAAATAATTATTTTTCGATTCCAGGATTTTGGGTTTGAGGCGCTGCTGCGCCCTTGTATGGGCTCCGTTCGGTAAAATATTTGGCATAGAGTCTACCCAAGAATAGTACTTCGAAAATATGAAACATTTAGCAAAATCCAGGTGGGGCCGGAAAAGGCCCAAAACGACACTCCTCCTTAGCAAAGTACCCAAAGCTTTTCGCTACCCATTTTTCGCCATTTTGTTAGAGGTTGATTTATTGACAATCGATTTTTGCCGGGGGCCCCGGACTTCTGGATAACCCGCCATTTTTTTGAAAATTGAGATACTGACAATTCGCTTTCCTCAATAGTTTTCTTTTTCCGTCCTTCCGCATGATGTATCACAAGGTAGGGGTTTAAAAAAATTTGGGTCCGCCCCCTAGGGGTGTCCCATTACGGACGGTGAAAAAAAAATTGCGAAATCCAATCGAGATACTTGCCAAAAATTTGCCTTCTTGTTAGAAAAACGAGAAAGTAAAAATCACAAACAAATCTCAGGGCCGTAGATAAAGGTTAAGTGGTCCCGCAAAGCACTTAGGTGGTTTTACCGTTTTCTCATCTTGGCGATCTTTGCAATTTCGCAGATTTTTCTTTGGAAAATGCAATCGAGCTAGAAAGTCGCAAATGCGAATAATGAGACTTCTGATACGATATTTCAAGAGATGAATAACAGTTTGGACCCACGAGGCTCAGAAATTCTTCATTCAAAGCTCTCAAAATGCGAAAATCAGCGATTTTAGCATTTTGTTGTAAAACCACTACTTGACCGTCGCTCAACTTAAATGTCGCGGTGTTCAACGCGGTGTTTCATGATGATCCCATCGGGGAAGCAAAAGTCCTTCAAGTATGTTCATTAGGGGTGTAAGAGGGTCACTTTGGCCAATTTTCGTTGAAATCAAACTTTGCGCTCATTGTTTAAACTTTTTTTTATAGATTTTTCCTGTTTTCTCATCATTATTTAAAATGATTTAGAAAGGGCAACTCATCTTCCACCAGAATTATACTCCTTTGGCAGAAAATGTGCATTGGTGGTCAAATCCTACCTCTAAAAAAGATTTTGGATTCAAAGCCTCCCAAAAAAATCGATATTGCCATATTGAGTTCATTGGAGTTCAATTCTGGTGGAAGATGAGTCGCCCTTTCTAAACCACTCCGCCATCGCCGCCGCCGCGCGTGCGGCGTTGATCGGAGGGCACTGGCAACAATGTGAGTTCGGTCGAGGAGTATGATTCGTAGAAGTGAGCGAGAGGGGACGTTCTCCTTCCGATCAACGCCATCAACGCCGCTCGCGCAGTTTAAAATAGCCGATTTTCCCGACCTTCGCTCCTTTCCGCTCGTATGACTCGCGACAAAGACATTTTTCCAGCGTACAGTAAAGATCTAGAGGGGTTACGAAGAGACAGGAACAACATAGGTACCTATCGGTTTTTCATCAAAATAAAAAAATGGCTTTTTTTGGAATCGGCCCGGACATGAAAGAAAGGGGGGTCTTTATTGAGCGTTCCGGCGCTTCGGAGGCAATAACTCGAGCTAAAGTTGACAAAACCCTATGATAATAAACATTTTCTGAAAGATCTCGTCACGCTAAAAACGCCTGTCGAACCCGCGTTTTTCAAAACCTCTCGATTTTCGAGTAACGAATTCGCTAAAATGTTGATGATTTTTAACTTTGACCCCCCACCGCGTCTCCCCAAAATTGTATGATGAAAAGCTATGTTGCCAAGTTGCAAAAATAATCTAATTATCTATTTTCAAAACTCTATTGCATAACCCGCAGACTGAAGGGGCAATATGTAATACTCCTGTAGTTCTTGATGCAAGAACGGCTTTTTTCGCCCCCCCCCCTCTAGAATTCCTTCATACTTCGTCTATCGATTACTCATACTTCAGCCCTCCTTTTTCCAAATTTTCAGACCCCCAAAAAATTTTTTGTGGGGGTTGCAGGGGGGGGGGGTGGAAGTGAAAACCTGTGAACCTCGATATCTCTCGAACAAATTAAGATATCGAGGTCCGGTTTGGACGAAAAATCGTCCAAAATTGCATACTCTAAGATTCCAAAGGTCAAAATCCAGAAATCACATTTTCAAAACAACATGTGCTTTTTTCAGTTTTTAAGTCGGGAAAATTTCTTTTAAACGAAAGATACACAAAGATCTTAATTTTTTATTTGAACCAAAACCATTTTTCTAAATTGTTCGTCTTTTTCCGTATCCAACGAGTGGCCAAGAAAGCTGAGGAACCGAACGGTTCCGGAGTTATGAGCGAGTAAGTTTCCACTCAACGCGCGCCGACCGATTTTCGCGCGCCAAAATATGGTTCCAAAGCCGGATTTGGGTGTTAATGAATCAGATTTTATGTCCAAATAGTGCAAAATACACTCATAGGTATTCTTGAGGGTTTCTGAGTTCAATAATTACAGATACTTCCAAAAATTCACTTTTTTCCCGCACCGCTACTTGAGAGACCCACCGAGTGCCGACCGACCGGCCGCTCAAAATTTTTTGGGGGTCTGAAAATTTGGGAAAAGAAGGACTCAAGTATGAGTAATCAATAGACGAAGTTTGAAGGAATTCTAGAGGGAGGAGGGGGCGAAAAAAGTCGTTTTTGCATCAGACTCTTATCAAAATTGAGATTTTTACAGCATTATGCCAGATGGTCTAATGCCCACCCCGTAAACCCTCAACGTATATCGTATTTTTCTGCACTATTTAGCTAAAAACTGTTTGGTTTCAATCGGCATTTCTACCCTACTAGCGTGGTCTGATCAGAGAATAGGAGTGGGTGAATCCCGAATGATCGAGCGGTCGGATAGTATGGGAAGGGGGAGGCGCTGGGAAGAAAGTCGTGCTGCTTTGAGCCGATAACCGACACTTCGACACTTCGCCCACCGTCTCGCTCCAATTCGAAAAAAAAGGGAATGGAATGAACTGGAGTCCCTCGAAGTTAGTATTAATGATTATATTTGGAAAATGTACTGAATAGGGGGAAGGGGGAGAATTTAGAATATACAACAAAAACATTAATTTTAAGTCATGATTTGTCTATGAGGTGTCACTTCTTTTTATTATGACGGCCGGATCCTTATTCTTCTGTGATTATTCTAATGAGCTATTAAAAAAGGTTGCCCGGGGGTGGAAAGAGGGGAGGGAGGTTGCATTCTCAAAATTCCGGTGGTGGTTTCAATTCCAAATGAATACTGAGGCTTAAAGAGGGGTGAATAAGAAGGAACTCATTCGTAAAAGATAAACATATGCACGATGTACAGTTTGATTCAAACGAGGTTCATCTGTATAAATGCGCTTACCTGTATAAGAATAAGTATAACAGAAACACACCAAACCCTATTATAAGTTTGGACTGAGGACGCAACGCTGATCATCGCACCTCATCACGTACTGTGTCAAAACCGTACAGCGTACCTGTGTCAACGTACAGTGTTGAGAATCTTGAATAGTTAAATTATTTTGCTTATGCACCAGAGCTTTTATTGATAATGAAACGTTTATTTTTTCGGAGACTTCTTACTTTATCACTGTTCAATTTAATTTATATCGGGTAAAGTAAAAAACTAAACCTTCAGTGAATTAAATATTTAAACGAAATATTTAAATAAAACTCATAATAATACCTATTTAAAAATATTTAATAATTAATTAATTAAATAATTAAAATGAAATGATTAAATATGTTTGTTAATTTTCGTATCAATAAAAGCTCAAGTGCATAAACAAAATAATTAAACTATTCAAGGTTTTTAAAGTAATGAATGGGAGTCAAGCGTCGCACCTCTTTCTTGCCTCTAATCTGAGGAGGTACAAAAAAAGACTAAAATGAAATTCGTTTTACGAGATCTTGTTCTGCGAAAAGAAAAAGAAGAAAGAGCCTCGAAAAGAGCCTCTGAAAATTGGAGGGCAAAAGTTGCGTGGTTGCCGAGTCAATCAAAAACATTGGCAAAAATCACTGAAAAGTTGATACCTATAAAATCCTGTTTTTCTACCTTGATAAGGGCTCCACGGAGGCATTAAAACATTCCCTGGCAAAATAATTATTATATCTTCTGATTCTACTTAATGCACTATTTCTTCTGCTTAAAAGAGTCTCCAAAAATTGAAGGCCAAATTTTTTACATGCTTGCCATGTTGGACAAAAAAATGGTAAACATCGCTGTGATTTCAACCAAAGCGACCGATGCGGCCTAACCGTGAGTTGAAAATAGGCGGAAAACCATCCGCATTCAAAAAACTAATATTTTCCCCTGATAAATATAAATGGTTCCTAAAAACCAAAAATTGACTTTCTGCAGGGTTGCCAAGTCACCTAAAATATCAATAATATCGTTGACTTATACGATTCATAACCGGCCGCAATAGTATTTTTTGCATTTTAAGGACATGTGGGGGCACACAAAATATTTTGATCCAAAGACTAATTAGCATACCTTAAATGAGTAGCTACTAGAAGTGAGTTGATACTCAAAAAGTGAGAGCATTAGCCAATTTATATCATGCTTAAACAGTGCGATGAAATTGCAACAAACTGCATGAAATATGTGATTTTTTTTACACAAATTGCACAAGCGCCACCTTTAATTTTTTTTTTTTTCGAAGAATGCTTTGGTACACTTTATTTTGATACCTAGGCTTAAGTTTCCCCTCCTCGATCGCCCGGGAGGAGGGGGGGGGGCAGCGACAACCATACCAAAGTCCGCGCAAGTTACGTTACGTGGTGGCACTGTGGATTACTGCTTAAGTGAGATGTGCCATATTGTTTACTGCTTTGAATTGAAAAGATCTGGCAGTTCATTAACAGTCATTCAATAATATGTTTTATAAATCTTTTTCAGCAAATATTGAGCCACGGGGAAACCCCCGGAAAGGTAAAAAATCAAATTATGGCAGTGGCAAAGAAACATTAAGATTCAAAGCAAATGGGAAGGCGTTAATTGAAGAGGAGGTGAGAGTTATCATCAATTTCTACATGATTATTCTTAAGACATTTTGATAGTCTACCTATAGATGTGCGGTGAAAAGACTCCTTGCATATACAGGGTGAGCGAAAAGTCCCCGACCCCCCCCTCTAACTTTTGAACGAATTGAGCTAAGGAAATGAAACTTTAGGAATGTTCCTATCTCAAAGGGGACCATCTTTTGAGGGGGTCAAAATTTTGGTCCCCCCTTCAGGGGAGGAAAAGGGCCCCCCAAACTTTTTTTTTCAAATAGCAACCCCTATCTTGTGATACCTCATTCGAAAGAGCATAAAAAACTAAGAATTTTGGCGCAAACCGCAGATCAATATCTCAATTTTTGACCGAGTTATGATAGGTCAAAGGTCAAATTTGACCTATTTTCAAAAAATCATAACTCCGGTTCAAATTATCGTAAAGAAAAAAATAAAACGGGAAAATTCACCAAATTGTGTTCGCTTTTACGTAAAAATTACAGAAATCACTTCGATTTAATTTTAAGGGGGGGCTCGGACCCCCAAATACGTCAATTCAAAGGTCATTCAATTTTCCTGCGAAATAAGCCAATTTCCTCTGGATTTGCCTCCACATTATCTCAGTAAGGTCATAATCAGTTCAACATTACGTTGGCAAGTCCTCAAATTTAGGGAAAAGTTAAAAAAACGAAATTTAAGGTGATTAAATTTGACCGTTTAAATTTCGTTTTTTTAACTTTTCCCGAAATTTGAGGACTTGCCAACGTAATGTTGAACTGATTATGACCTTACTGAGATAATGTGGAGGCAAATCCAGAGGAAATTGGCTTATTTCGCAGGAAAATTGAATGACCTTTGAATTGACGTATTTGGGGGTCCGAGCCCCCCCTTAAAATTAAATCGAAGTGATTTCTGTAATTTTTACGTAAAAGCGAACACAATTTGGTGAATTTTCCCGTTTTATTTTTTTCTTTACGATAATTTGAACCAGAGTTATGATTTTTTTGAAAATAGGTCAAATTTGACCTTTGACCTATCATAACTCGGTCAAAAATTGAGATATTGATCTGCGGTTTGCGCCAAAATTCTTAGTTTTTTATGCTCTTTCGAATGAGGTATCACAAGATAGGGGTTGCTATTTGGAAAAAAAAGTTGGGGGGCCCCTGTCCCCCCCTGAGGGGGGGACCAAAATTTTGACCCCCTCAAAAGATGGTCCCCTTTGAGATAGGAACATTCCCAAAGTTTCATTTCCTTGGCTCAATTCGTTCAAAAGTTAGAGGGGAGGTCGGGGACTTTTCGCTCACCCTGTATTAACAAGTTTAAAGCAGTCAAAACGGTCAGAAAAGTCAAAATTGTCACACAGTGGACCTATTTAAAAGTAATATAATCACACAAAAAAAGACAAAAAATCAACCACCGATTTAAAATACATTGACGTCACTTGAATTTGAAGTAAATTCTTGAACACAATATCTAGCAGGTAAGAATACAAGGCTGATACGAAACAGGTCTCTACGGAATAATGTTACGGAATTTTTCGTCGCAGCGCTGAATTTATCATACAAGTGAAAATATGTTCGATTCAAATCAGATTAGGTACCTAGATATGTTAGAAGTAGGATCAGTCCTATTAAACGAAATCTCTTCTTATGGTGAATTCCACAGACGGGTACACATCAGAGATTCAGATTTATCATATAATGAGCATTTGCAATTTAAGCAAGTACATTTTGCTTTTAATAATGTGTCTTTGACTCCTGAATTAGATTTTCATGCCGCGCAGCCGTGCTCCCCCAGCCTAGGTTAGAAACTGGAACTAAATCGGTAATGAAGATCTTAGAAGTTCCAAGAAAAGACATGTCAACCGTAGAGTCCCAACGCGGTCTCGTGACGAAGAGAATGGGTCAGTTGCGCTGGTCATAGAATTGTGTTTTGATGCTAGATTCCTTGTAGATTTATGAAGCGCCATTTGGGACAATACCCTCGCTTTCTTTGTATACACTCACAAAGTCTGTACACACTCACGAATTTCTGTACAAACTCTTGAAATTCGTGTACAATGTACATACCCTTAATTAACAAGGAGGTACGAACAAAGTAATTCTCCGTACACATCCATAAGATATTTCCTATTTGCACCAGAACAGCACCAGAATAAAATCAGGAACCTCGTTTTTCTTGTCGTGTTGCCAAGTATAATTTATTAATTCTGGAATCTTACATCCGCCTCTCCGGAATTTTACCGAGCCGTAGCGCGCTGTTTCCGATAGAGCAAAGTACTCTGCAGGTGTCGATGCTTTTGATACGACCTGTTGTTTTTGGGATTTCCACAAGATTGGTACATGGTTTAAATGAATTAGAATGCCTGAAGTTGATTTACAATCGATCCGATCGGATCCATGATCAGAATCTGAAAAAGCATCTAATCGTATTCCTTTAGGATTATGAGAGAAAGTTAGTTTGAGGTCTTTTGTCGAATACAAGTATTTGAGAATAGTAAGGCGTAATTGTAATACGTGTCCGAGCAACAATTCTGGAAACGTGATAAGTAGTTGACAGCGAAAGAAACATCTAGGCGTGTACCCGTTGATACACACACACACACCCACCCTCACACACACACACACCCACCCTCACACACACACACACACACACACACACACACACACATATATATATATATATATATGTGTGTGTGTGTGTGTGTGTGTGTGTGAGGGTGTGTGAGGGGGGGTGTGAGGGTGTGTGTGTGTGGTGTGTGTGTGTTCCGATTAAATTTCTATATTTCATTGACGGATTAGCCTTATCAGCATGCAATAATCTCAGTTTATCCTCCATTGGAATGTTGAACGTTTTTGTTGGGAGAATGTTAAATTTTAATACTGCTGCTTCAATAAAATCAGTCTGATCAATGGTAATTACATTTTGGTTCCTATTATGTGAAATATTGAAACCTAAATATTTTTGGACTTCAGTTAAATCAGTCATTTTAAAGATTTTACAAAGTTGGTTCTTAAGATTAACAATTAAAGATAATTGAGAACTTCCTAACAGCATATCATCGACAGGAATCAATATTTAAATATAAACATCATTTATTTTCTTGTAATACAAGCAACAGTCATATGCGGATTGAGTAAATTAATTCTGTATAATGAAATTGTGAAAAAAATCAAACTAATCACGTTTAGTTTTAGCACGTTGTTGCGTATGTTGAAACCTTTTGGGGGATGTATATAAACTTCCGATTTACTATTGGCATTGAGAAAAGCAGTTTGAAAGTCCATTTGGTGGAGATGCCATCCATATTGAGCTGCTAAAGCGATTAGAATTTTTACAGTACATGTTCTTGCAACGGGGGAATAAATTTCCTAGGATTCTATAAAATCTTGCTGAAAGCCTCGAGCAACTAGACGCGCTTTGAATTTCCCATTTGTTTGGATAGGGAATAACCATTTTGTATCTATTATTTGCTTGTTAGTTGGCTTCTTAACAATATCCCATGTTTCGTTTTCTACCAAACTTTTTAGCTCCTCTTCTATTGCAACTTTCCATGAAAGTTTGTTTTCACCTGCCATGGCTTCCTCATAAGTTTTTGGAAGAATTGTATCACATGTGTTAGCAAATATGGGGTCATCTATCAGTCGCCTCGGAGCTTGTATTGTACTTCTGTTTCTCAAATTTGGCGGTTCAATAGGCGGGAGCTAATAATTATTTTCGGGAGTTTGAAAGCTTTCATTTGGGTCATATTCATTTAGGGTTTGCGTATCATTTCCACTGTGAATTTCAAAGCGTGATTATTCTTGTTTATCTGTTGTATTCCCAATTAATTTATCGCACATACTATCTTTAATTAACTTACTGTCCTCTTCAATGAAAATTACATTCCGTGACACTATGACTTTATTAAAGTTGCTTAAACAAATAAAATATCCATGATCATATCTTATCATGATGCCTTTTTCAGCTTTATCACAAAATTTGTTTACTCGGCATTCATCAGGGATTCTCACAAAGACTTGAGATCCAAATCTCTTCAGATTGGAAATATTTGGTTTTTTTTTAAGGAAAATTTCGAATGGAGTTTTGCATAATTTAGTGTTAGCAAGACTACGGTTTCCTAAGTAATTTGCTGCTTTGGCTCCATACGTCCAAAAACCTGTTGGTAACTTTGCTTCTAATAACAAGCACCTAATTCTATCTATAAGAGTTCTTTGATTCCTTTCAGCACAACCATTTACTTGGTGTGTGTATCTAGGGCATGTTTGGACATAAATACCTTTTTCCTTTGCGAAGTTGTACTTACGGTTGTTTAAATATTCTTTGCCATTGTCAAATCGCAGCGTTTTAATTTTATGTCCAGTTAGATTTTCAACTAGATTTGTATAGTTTGGAAAAATATCTGGAACTTCACTCTTGTTTTTGATGCAGTAAGAGAGGGCAAATTTTGAAAAATCGTCTATAAATGACACGATGTATTTTTCTCCGTTGATACCAGTTGGAAGCGGACCACTGACGTCCGAGTGTACTATTCCTAGGAGCTCGTTTGCTCTGGTCCTATTATCCTGATATTTTAAATTGTTCATTTTTGCTCTTAGAAAAATTTCCCACTTATTGAATTCACGTTTAAATGAGGTAACCCATCAACCAAGTTTAGTTCGCTCATCATTATTAAGTCTTGAAAATTTGCATGTCCCATTAGTCCATGCCATTTTTCTAAATTTGAAACTTAACATGGCATTGCCATTTTTACGTGATGAGTGTATGTACTATTATGGGTTACAATTCCTTTTAATTTATAGAGATCACCTTATTTGTTTGCGACTGCGATAACAGTATTTTCGTTGTTCAAGATTGACGCTTGGTAATTTTCAAAAATAGTTGAGAGACTAAGGTCTGTTATAATTGAAACACTTAACAGATTGACTTTCATTTGTTGCACGAAGTACACATTTGATATTCTTATGTTATAAATTGTATTGTTTACATTGAATTCAAGATTAATATTTCCTACT